CCATGTCGAAAGGCCCCCTGCAGAGACCCCAGCCCACTGTGCTTAGGAAACACGGAGAAGGTGTGGTCGCTGTGGTGGCGTGAGGCGTGTCCGAGTTGGGAGGCAGACGGGAAAGTGACCCACAGACCCTTCTTGTGTATCCACGGTCAGCACCCACTGCCCTGCAGAGGGGGCCTGGGAGAGGAGGGGTGGGCCAGCCCCAGCACCAGCACAGGCCTGGGAGGGGAGGGGTGGGCCAGCCCCCAGCACCAGCATAGGCCTGGGAGGGGAGGGGAGGGGTGGGCCAGCCCCAGCACCAGCACAGGCCTGGGAGGGGAGGGTGGGCCAGCCCCAGCACCAGCACAGGGCTGTGAGGGGAGGGGTGGGCCAGCCCCAGCACCAGCACAGGGCTGGGAGGGGAGGGTGGGCCAGCCCCAGCACCAGCGCAGGGCTGGGAGGGGAGGGTGGGCCAGCCCCAGCACCAGCACAGGGCTGTGAGGGGAGGGTGGGCCAGCCCCAGCACCAGCACAGGGCTGGGAGGGGAGGGTGGGCCAGCCCCAGCACCAGCGCAGGGCTGGGAGGGGTGGGCCAGCCCCAGCACCAGCACAGGGCTGGGAGGGGAGGGGAGGGTGGGCCAGCCCCAGCTCAGCGCAGGCCTGGGTGGATCCGGCACTCGCTCCTGGGGGTGGGGAGGTGGCCCCTGTGAGAATGAAGCCTGGAGCTCGTTGGTCAGGAGTCTGAGGTTACAGATCACGAAGAAAGGGCTTGAGTTCTGCTTGGAGCATGGTGGCATAAGTCAGCATTTCCCCACTTCTTTTCTGGAAAGTATCCAAAAATAGCAAGTGTGGAAGCAAAAATGGCAAACTTGAACTTTGGCCAAACGGAAATTCGGCTGAAATCGGAGCCCGCGTGGAGGCAGATGCCCGTGGAGGGGCAGTGCCGGGGCTGGATGTGGACGCCCGGCACGCCGCCTCCTGCCCGCGTCTTGCTGGCGGGGCGCCAGGGAGGCTGAGTGACTGGAAGCAGGCCGTCTGGTTGGAGCTGGATCAAAGAGCTCGGGCCTCGCGCTCAGAGCTGGAGTTCGTGAAGCTCCCCTTCAGCCGTGAGTGCTAGAGGGACATCGCGCGGCCCTAGAAAACCAAGAGGAGAAATAGGAGCCCTCAGACGGGGAGCAGGTGGAGCTGTCGCGCCAGCTCCGCTGAGAGAAGGCTGGCCGGTGCAGCGCCGGGGCCGAGGGGGCCGGGAGGCGGCCGCCGGAGCTCCGAGTCAGGCGGCGGGGCCCAGCTCAGGCCCAGCGGGGAGAGCGGCCTGTGCCCCGCAGCGGGGAGCCGGGGCTGCGGTCTGCGAGGTGGAATTTGCCCACCTAATAGACGTGTGGTGGCTGGGAAGGAGTCCTCCCTCCCACAGCTGTGGGGGATAGCGCCCCGGTTAGAGCCGCGTGGGACAGAGCCGAGGGCACCTGGCTGTCCGCTCTCAGGTGAGCTGGGGACCCCGGGGGACCCCTGTGTGACTCAGTCCGAGTCTGAAGGCCAGAGGCCCGGGGGAGCTGGAGCAGGTGCAGGAGGTGGGGGGAGAAACCCCCCTCTGGCCTGCTTTTGTGCCGTCGTGCCCCCCAGCTCTCCCCCTGCCCCGGCCAGTGCCCAGATTCCTGGCTCTGCCCCTGGCCATCAGGATGAACGGCAGGCGAGGGGTGACAGTGCTTCCCAGTGCTGTGTGCACAAAGTGAGATTGTCGTCTGATCGCATTCTTTGAGCTGTGTGAGGCACCACCGTGTCGGTGTCTTAACCAGGGAGACGCGGCGGGCAGCCAGGTCCACTCGTGGCAGCCAGGGAGCCACGCCGCACGCCACACGTGTTCCTCGGGGCCACGGGCCGACCTCTGCTGGCTGCAGCACAGCACACGTGGCAGGGTTGGAGTCGTGGTCACAGTGACTTTGGTTCAAGCTGTGCTGCGTTGTTGAGAACAGGCAGAGGCGCTGCCCAGCGCTCGCTCAAGGGGACCAGGACTGCCTCCCTCCAGGAACAGCTCGACAGGAACAATCCGGAAGCTTGTCCGAAGGCCAGGAGTGAGAGAGATGTTTCACTTAATAACCCACGGTGTCAGGAGTGAGCCAAGAGTAACCAGGATGCCAGAGGCGCCATGTGTGCATGTGCGTGTGTGTACACGTGAGCAGTCTCATCCCCACGCTAGACATGGTGTGTGTGTGCACATGTGTACATGTGAGCAGTCTCATCCCCAGGCTAGACACAGTGTGTGTGTGTGCACATGTGTACACGTGAGCAGTGTCCCCAGACTAGACACAGTGTGTGGGTGTGTGCGTGCACGCACACGTGTATACACGTGAGCAGTCTCATCCCCACGCTAGATACAGTGTGTGTGCACATGTGTACATGTGAGCAGTCTCATCCCCAGACTAGACACAGCATGTGGGTGTGTGTGTGCACGTGTGTACATGTGAGCAGTCTCATCCCCAGACTAGACACAGCGTGTGGGTGTGTGTGTGCACGTGTGTACGTGTGTGCATGCGAGCAGTCTCATCCCCAGACTAGACACGGGGTGTGTGTGTGTGTGTGCGCGCGTGCACACGTGTATACACGTGAGCAGTCTCATCCCCACGCTAGATACAGTGTGTGTGTGTGCACATGTGTACATGTGAGCAGTCTCATCCCCAGGCTAGACACGGTGTGTGTGTGTGCACATGTGTACACGTGAGCAGTCTCATCCTCAGGCTAGACACGGTGTGTGTGTGTGCACATGTGTACATGTGAGCAGTCTCATCCCCAGGCTAGACACGGTGTGTGTGTGTGCACATGTGTACATGCGAGCAGTCTCATCCCCAGACTAGACACAGTGTGTGGGTGTGTGTGTGCACATGGTGTATGCATGCGCTGTCTGTGTCTCTGCCCCAGAGAGAGACCCCTCGCTTCCTCTCTGTGGAGAGTGCCCACGAGTGTGCAGAGATGAGTCACGTAAGTGGATGAGACATTCATAACCAGGCAGGTGAGCCAGCGCAGCCTCTGGGATGTGGCAAGATTTGAAATCAGATGCAAAGCCACGGGAGAAAAAGCTCCTAACACCTGAAACTTGGAAAGCAAACGGGAGGCAGGACAGAGCCCTTGTTCTAAACACGTCTGGGTTCCGAGGAGAGGCGCGACTCAGGCGCGTGGAAGCGGGGAGTAAGTGCAGTGGAAGAGCTCCTGGTCAGAGCCAGGGAGACCGCTCAGCCCGAGGGCAGGAGGCCACAGTGCGCGTGCGCATGCGCAGTCTCAGGCTGCAGTCAGGGGAGTAGGGTGAACCTTAGGGCGGCGAGAGGTAGAACCCTGAGGATCAGAGCGCAGGTTACGGGTGGAAAACGGGAGGACGAGAAGTTAGGCCACATGCCTGGCACTTGAAATAAAGCCAGCAGCACAAATCAATTAGTCACAGTTCTGCTGGGAAGTTAATAGCATCTCCGCTCAAAATAGGGACTGAGAGCCGTGGCTCAGCGTGCCCGGGCCTGCCAGGGCACCTCCCCGTGTGCGCGCACAGCGTCCCCGCCCTGCAGACAGCAGAGGTCAAACGGACCTGAGAGGACAGGGCCCCGGGGATGTCCCACCGCTCCACTCCAGCGAACGTGGGGATCTGAGTACAGTAACACTTCCCCAGGGAAACGCCGTCTCGCCGTCCCGAGTCCAGCACACACCAGTGCTTCCAGAGTCCTTCCTGGGCAGTGGACAGAGCACGGGGACTGCGTCCCACAGAGCCTGCTTCCCACTGGAGCTCCCGGGTCCAAACACTCGGAGCCGTGGGCAGGAGTTGTGCGCGGCCGGGGCAGGCGTGGGCCGGGCCAGCTGCTGTGTGGGTCTGTGCTGGGAGTAAGTCCGTGCCTCCCTGCCCTACCCCACCCTGCTTGCTGCCTCTGGGACAGAGCAGCCGTGAGCCTCTTCCCATGGCCTCTTCCCAAGAGGAGAGAGATGGGCCCTGTGGCCGCAGCCCCTGGACACCCGGCTTTGCCCTGCTGTGGCACTCATAGGTGTGGAGGCCTTGTGGCCTGAAATCAGGCCCACGGTGAGGACCTTGTGGTGCCCCGGCTGCCCCCCTGAGGGCACTCGACAGCCCCTGACGAGGCGCCTGCCTGTGGTGAGCTGCCAGGTAGGCCACAGGCTCTCCTGGCTGCTCAGGTGGGCCAAAGACAAGGGCAGTGAGGCCACGCGAGGGAAGGGGCTGAGCTGTCCCCAAGGGGAAGGTGCCTGTGGCCCCTGTGCCGGCCAGCACCTGTCCCCAGCCCTCTCTGCCGGCCAGCACCCATCCAGCCCCCTCTGTCGGCCAGCACCCGACTAGGCCCCTCTGCTGGCCAGTGCCTGTCGCCAGGTCCCTCTGCCGGCCAGCGCCTGTCCCCAGCCCCCTCTGCTGGCCAGCGCCTGTCCCCAGCCCCCTCTGCTGGCCAGCGCCTGTCCCCAGCCCCCTCTGTTGGCCAGCGCCAGTCTCCAGCCCCCTCTGCCGGCCAGCACCTGACCAGGCCCCCTCTGCCAGCCAGCACCCGTCCAGGCCCCTCTGCCAGCCAGCGCCTGTCCCCAGCCCCCTCTGCCGGCCAGCGCCTGTCCCCAGCCCCCTCTGCTGGCCAGTGCCCTCCAGGCCCCCTCTGCCGGCCAGCACCCGTCCAGGCCCCCTCCTTACTAACTTTCAGAAGTGGAATCCCAGGCTCAGAGAGGCAGTGTCACTTCTGAGGTTGCAGATGGCAGGAAGGAAAGGCCCGCGGCCCTGTAGCCCCTAGGGGCTCCCCGCCCCTGCTGGGGTGGGTGAGCAGCCTGCAGGCTCAGCTGGCAGTGTGGAGTGACTTGAATTCCTGGGCTGTGTGTGTGGCTGCTGCAGAGACAGAAGCCCCAGAGGCAAGAACTCGGGGCTGCATAGGCCCCTTGTTCTGTGGCCTGGCGCCCAGGCTGCGGGGGTCCAAGCTCTCCCCTGGGGGTTCTGCCCATGGACACAGAGCCTGGGCTGCCCGTGGGCTCCTGCGTCCTCTGATTTGCTCTGTTTCCTCGTAGCTGGAGATGGAGCTGAAGATGCTGACGACGAGGTCCAGCTCTGCCGAGCCGAGCTTCCGCTTCTCCAGGGAGGAGGTGGACTCCCTCAGGTAGGGCGGCCGGGACAGCTGAGCAGCTGTGGTCCCGCCCAGAGCTGGGGCGAGGACCAGCTTGGCCGAGGCACTCTGCCTGAGGCTGTTCACCACTGAGGGCAAACACCTGGGGCGCTGGGTTGTGCGTGTGCTTCTGTCATCGGTATCTTCAGGTGTGTGTGTGCCCCAGCCTCCAATGAGCCTGCGGAAGCGACCATGTGACATGTGCACCTTACCAGGCGTGGGGTCCGTGTGGCTGCGTGGCTGTGACACGGTGCCGTGAGCACGTGTGTTGGTTCTGTGTGGGGAGCGTGACAGCCAGGGACACCGAGGCCTGGGGGGCCGTGGCCTGGGAAGCTTGGAATGGAAGAGAGCCGTGACGTGGTGTAGCATCTGTAGCCGCCAGCCCCAGGTGGGGGAAGAGGGGCTTGGCAAGGGTGGGCTGGCCGGCCCCGGCCGGGGGCCCTGGCTCAGCAGAAGCAGTTTCTACACAGTCCTGAGCAGGACACCCCCACTTCTAGGAGCAGCCCAGCAGGTGGGCTGGGGCTCTGCTGTGGTGTTTCAACCCCGTGGTGGGCTCGAGCAGCCCAGAGGGCTTTCTTGTATGGTTTTTTTTTGTTGTTGTTGTTTTTTTTTTTTTTTTTTTTTGACAGGCAGAGTGGACAGTGAGAGAGAGAGAGACAGAGAGAAGGGTCTTCCTTTGCCGTTGGTTCACCCTCCAATGGCCGCCGCAGCTGGCGCGCTGTGCTGATCCGAAGCCAGGAGCCAGGAGCTTCTCCTGGTCTCCCATAGGGTGCAGGGCCCAAGCACTTGGGCCATCCTCCACTGCACTCCCAGGCCACAGCAGAGAGCTGGCCTGGAAGAGGGGCAACCGGGACAGAATCCGGCGCCCCGACCGGGACTAGAACCCGGTGTGCTGGCGCTGCAGGCGGAAGATTAGCCTATTGAGCCGCGGTGTCGTTCCCAGAGGGCTTTCCAGGCAGGCCGGGCATCTGTGTGAGGCCCAGGGAGGGATCAGGCAGACCATGGGAGGCAGATGGACCTCTGGGCCCCAGTCCCAGGGAGCCATCCGGTGGTGCCCTGGAGCGCTGGACCTGGGAGTCGGCCGGTGCAGCTGTCAGGCGGAGGCCGCGCCTGTCGTCTCTGGCTCCCAGGGTACCGGAGGGGGCGCCCTGCCAGCGCGAGTCTGGGCTGCATGGGATGGGCTGGCACGCGGGCTTCTCTGTCTCGACGTTGAAAGGGCGGTCAGCCTCTGTCCTGCAGCTGTGCGGAAGGGATGGACATGGGTGGACCGTGCTCAGGAGGCCTCGCGGAGGTGCCCACCGGCAGATCCAGCTCCTCCTCTGCTGCGGGGGGGGAGGGGGGGCGGCCGGGAGCCTGAGCCAGGCCGCGTCCTCACAGGGGCTTCAGCCGCTGCCCCCGCTTCCTGGCGCCAGGGCCTTGGCTCCACCTGCGATGTCTCCCTGGAGCCGTGCTCAGGATTGGGACTTGGTGGCTTGTTGTGACCAAGGCTCCCCGGCTGCTCAGGGAGGAGGTGGCTGGACTGGACTGTGTGCAGGGGAGGCCCTGCCAGGCGAGGGCAAGGGCCCAGCCACCAGAGTCCACACCCCCAGCGCGGGTGCCTCGATGCCATTTCTGCTTCAGAGTGGGCCGCTGTCCCAGGAGTCCCCCCCCCCCGCCTTCCTCACGGGCACTGCCCCCACCACTGCAGGCTCACAGCAGACAGTGAAGCGGCGGTCAGCGTCCGGCGGGCTGGAGACCCTCACCCGAGGGCAGGCGCCCGGGGTGCAGTGCGTCCCCCAGACCCTCAGCCGTGCGAGTGGGTTCATAGGAAGGGAGAGGGGTGCCCAGGCGTGTGGCTCCTCCACGGCCCCGCCACGGCCGGCCTGCCTTCACAGGCGTGTGGAGGGGTGGTCCGCGTGTGCACATGCACACGCGTGCACACACATGCACGCGCTTGTTTTACATCGGTCATACGTGCACGAGTTGCTTCGCAGTCATTTTTCTGCTCGCAGAGGAGCGGGGAGGCTGCGGGGAGGCGGCAGGGGCAGCGGCTGGGGCCTCTGGGCCGGAACTAATCTGGCTCGTTGGCCCCCGCTGCCAGTCGCAGCCGTGGCAGATCCTGCGTGGGCTGCTGACGGGATGGTGCGGGAGGCCGCACTCGTCCGCACCGGCCCGTCAGTCACACGCCAGGAGCCCGCGCCTCCCAGCCGCGCACACCGCCTACGGGCCCCTGCCTCGCGCTGAGCGCTCTGTAGACACTGGCCCACTCACGGGGTCCCACCCCCCGGGCTGCGTCCCATCCAGACACCCATGTGCTAGGCTGTTCCTCTTTTTTCCTTTTCTTAATATTCACTTCTTACTTATTTGAAAGGCAGAGTTAGAGAGGAGAGACAGAAGAGAGAGGCCTTCTGTCTCCTGGTTCACTCGCCGGATGCTTCAGCGTGCCTGGGCCAGGCCAAAGCCAGGAGCCCGGAGCTGCTTCTTGGGTCTCCCACATGGGTGCAGGGGCTTTTCCCAGGCGATTAGAGCTAATTGGAAGCGGAGCAGCCGGGACTCAGTCCAGGGCCCATATGGGATGCTGGCACTGCAGGCAGAGGCCTAGCCTGTGCCACAGCACCGGCCCTTCTTCCTCTTTTTAAAGAGCGTGTTTGCGCTAAGTCTCCTTCCCGCGCATGCGCAGTGGGAGGATGGTCGCTGCCCACTGGGCTTCCAGAACTCGGATGTGGGGCCAGTCGGGGCATGGGGCCACTGGCTGCAGTCACACCCCCAGCCCAGACCTCCGCTGGCTCTTGTTAGCTTGGTCTTGTTTGAAGCTGTGACATCCTGTTCACTGTGTGTGTCCTTGGGCCTGGGCCTCAGCAGTCCATCTCATTTGAAAGGTGGCCACAGCCGGCCGTGGGCACCAGCGCTCCCAGCAGGCAGAGGGCTCCAGCGCCAAACTCCTGGAGCCTCGCAGTGTCCCTCTGGGGCGGAATGGGCGAGGCCTGTGCTTGGCAAGGCTGCACCATCACAGAGAGGGAGTGTCCACCCAGCCAGGGCTCCCGTGCCGACTGTGCTGTGGCCAGCAAACCCAGGCCCTTGCTGGCCTACCACCAGCCACCAGGAGAGAGGGGCCCCAGCGCTGCCCTGAGGTCAAGGGGCAGAGCTTCCCAGACCTAGTGCTTTGTGTGCCTCCTGCCTGGGGCTGTGCCGGGCACTGGGGGCTGCGATTCCATGGACTCCTGCCCTGCAGTCCCTGAGCGTCGTCCTGAGTTTCTCGGTGACCCTGCCCCCCACCCCCCGTGTCTTCTGAGACGTCTTTATCTGGATGTGGGACCCTCCCTCGTGTTCCGTGTGTTCACCTGGGCACCGTCCCCCAGCCCGTGTGCTCCCCCCACCGTGTCTTCTGAGACGTCTTTATCTGGATGTGGGACCCCCCCTCGTGTTCCGTGTGTTCACCTGGGCACCGTCCCCCAGCCCGTGTGCTCCCCCCACCGTGTCTTCTGAGACGTCTTTATCTGGATGTGGGACCCCCCCTCGTGTTCCGTGTGTTCACCTGGGCACCGTCCCCCAGCCCGTGTGCTTCCCCCCCACCATGTCTTCTGAGACATCTTTATCTGGATATGGGACCCCCCCTCGTGTTCTGTGTGTTCACCTGGGCACCGTCCCCCAGCCCGTGTGCTCCCCACCCCGTGTCTTCTGAGACGTCTTTATCTGGATGTGGGACCCCCCTCGTGTTCCGTGTGTTCACCTGGGCACCGTCCCCCAGCCCGTGTGCTCCCCCCACCGTGTCTTCTGAGACGTCTTTATCTGGATGTGGGACCCCCCCTCGTGTTCCGTGTGTTCACCTGGGCACCGTCCCCCAGCCCGTGTGCTCCCCCCACCGTGTCTTCTAAGACATCTTTATCTGGATGTGGGACCCCCCCTCGTGTTCCGTGTGTTCACCTGGGCACCGTCCCCCAGCCCGTGTGCTCCCCCCACCGTGTCTTCTGAGACGTCTTTATCTGGATGTGGGACCCCTCCTCGTGTTCCGTGTGTTCACCTGGGCACCGTCCCCCAGCCCGTGTGCTCACCACCCCGTGTCTTCTGAGACGTCTTTATCTGGATGTGGGACCCCCCTTCGTGTTCCGTGTGTTCACCTGGGCACCGTCCCCCAGCCCGTGTGCTCCCGCTCCTGCTCTCGCGCTGCGCTCCTCGCGTTCTCCCGTTGGACTGTGCTTGGCACACATGAGTGGGGGTGTGCTCCGCCCCTGCGTGGGAACGATGCCTCTGAGGTTCTGTTCTCCCCGTGTCGTCTGTCTTCCCGCTGGCTTGGACCCATGGATGCCCACGAGCAGGAAGCAGGAGTCAGCCAGAAACGGGCCCAGGCAGTCCCATGTGCAGCACGGGGGTCCCTGCCGGTGTGCTGACCGCCTGGCCCGACACCCGCCCCACTCCCCGCGTCCTGTGGGCTGGCTGGAGTGGTGGCGGGACTGTCCCTGGGTCTCTCCAGGCACTAGCATGCGAGCGCACCACTGCCCACCTGGAGCCGGCCTCCTCCAGCACCTTCCAGGCTGGTCATCCACCCCTGCCAGGGCAGACCGCGTGTCTGGGAGCTCTGGGAGGGGCCGTCCCGGGTTTCCTGCACGCGTGGCCTGGCGGCGCCTCGTCTCTCCACGTCTCCTGGGCTGCTGGTCCGTCCATCCCTGCCACGCTGTCCTGGGGGTCTCAGACGCTTGCAAGGCTGTCCCCCGCCACGTGCCCATCCTGGCCGCCACACCTGCTGTCTGTCTTCCCAGCAGCTCCAGGTCGGGTGGGCACGGTTGCCTGGGCCCCGTCCTGTTTGTAGTTGGCTCAGCTTCTGCGTCTGTGGGGTTCCCAGCCCCTCTCTCCTGAGTCCCCGGCAGCTCACCCTCTTCATCCCTTTGTGGTTGGTCACTGGAGCGGTCACAGCCCATTTGTCAGCTGGCACAGGCAGGTGCCTCACCTTCCCAGCTGACAGAACCTGGTTCTCTGCATGCCTGCCACCTCGGCTTGTGCCTGGGCAGTGCATACGGAGCGAGGAGAGAAGGGGTTGTGTCTGTGGACGTGCGGGCAGGGCCGTGGGCTGACCTAGGGACAGCAGGGGACATGTCCCTTCTCAAGTGCACACCTCGTGTTGTGTGAGGGTGGATCTGGGCACAGTGGCCACAGTCGCAGCCATGAGGGTGGATCTGGGCGCAGCGGCCCTGGTCGCGGCCGTGAGGGTGGATCTGGGCTCAGCGGCCACGGTCGCGGCCGTGAGGGTGGATCTGGGCGCAGCGGCCCTGGTCGCGGCCGTGAGGGTGGATCTGGGCTCAGCGGCCACGGTCGCGGCCGTGAGGGTGGATCTGGGCTCAGCAGCCATGGTCGTGGCCGTGAGGGTGGATCTGGGCTCAGCAGCCACGGTCGTGGCCGTGAGGGTGGATCTGGGCACAGCGGCCATGGTCGTGGCCGTGAGGCTGCAGCAACAGCCAGGCGTGTTCCTTCGCAGGCCTTCAGCACCCGCGGTGTCCTGAGACCTGTCGCCCGGCAAAGGCAGTGTCCTGGTGGCTGGCCCTGCCACACACACCCTGGGAGTCACCTGTGCCGGTTAACTCGCTCCTCTGGGAAGGGGGCTGGTGTCCCAGGCAGCCCCCAGAGGGCCTGTTTCCCCTTCTGCGGGCTTGGCCCTGAGGACCGAGTGAGGTGTCTGGTCCCAGGCGCCGTCCTTGTGCTGTTGCCGCCTGTGGATCTCCTGCCGCGCGGTGGCTCCTGGGAGACTCCACGCCGGGAGCTCTGCTCAGGTGCACACTTTCCCTCCTCTCTGTCCTGTCCTTTCATCCCTGTCACTGAGCCTGCAAGACACGTTTCAGTTACAGCGAAATCCAGCTCTCCAGGATTCTGCTTGTCTGCGTGCTTGGGTCTCGTGGCTACGAAGCCGTTGCTGCGCAGACTCACAAAGGTTTCCCGTTTCCTTGCAGTGGGGCTGAGAGGGGCTTCGCGTTCAGGCTGGCTTCCGTTGAGTCAAGTCGCTGGTTCCGTTGGCTTGGTTCCCGCGAGGGCTCAGTTGTCGCGGAGCTGGGTTGGGGAGCACTGCAGGCCTCTGTGTCCTCGCCCGGGGCAGCTGCCGGGCCAGTGTCAGGGCCTCTTCCGCTCCACAGGCCTCGCGCAGGCCAACACCGCGCTGTGTGGGGGCCGCAGCCTCGGCGCGGCGGTGAGCTGAGCCGGCGCCGCTGCGTCTGCCCGCGCGGCCTGGGCCTTCCCGAGCAGGTCACTTCCACAGGGGCCGAGGCGCCAGCCTGCCCGTTCGCACAGAGACGCGCGTGGGCTTGTCGGGGATGCTTCTGTAAGAGGTGTCTTCCAGGCGCCTCACGGAGCCCCTCCCCGGTGGGCTGGGCTGCCTGCGGACCGGGGGAGCCCGAGTGCCCGCGGCCTCCTGAGTCAGGGCTGGCCGTTGTTCCAGTCCCGAGGTGGCGACACCGACGGCTGACCCTGGCCGGCTCCCGTCAGGCGTCCATGCTCTCTGATGCAGGACCCCCTTGCCAGCGGCTGTGCTCTGAGGCCTGCCGCGTGTGCACGGGGCCCGCCCGGCGTCTCTAGCTGGTGTTCTTCTGGGCTGCCCTGTGTCACGCAGGTCTGTGCCATTTTCCCAAAAGCTCTGGCACTCGTCAGCGTTTTCAGCCAGAAAGTGTCTTTTCGTAATTGAGGCGTGTGTGTTGGTCGGGGCTTGCTGCCGCCGCACGTCGCACAGGCTGCATACGGGGTAAATATAACTTCCTCACGCGCGGCAAGACCCAAAAAAGCGTGTGGCTCGTCTTAGCACAGCGTTTGCTTGACGGTGGCGGTCTGGAGCCGGACCCGCGCCGTCTGTCACGTGGAAGTCTCTGGGGGTCGCGTTCACATCCGGTTTGGGGTGAGTGTCGCGGCGCAGCGGGTCAGACCCGGCCTGAGATGGCCACGTGCCCCGTCAGTGCCTGCTGAGACCACTACACGCGTCTGACCCAGCGCCCTGCTGACGCGCCGGGACGCAGCAGTGATGGCCCAAGCACTTGGGCCTCGGCCACCCACGGGAGACCAGGACAGAGCTCCAGGCTCCTGGTATCAGCCTGGCCCAGCCTTGGCTGTTGTGGGCGACTGGGGAGTGGAGCGGCGTGGGCAGCTCCGCCTGTCGCTCCCCTCTGGGTCTCGTGGCTCTGCCTCCTGGGTGGGCAGCGAGGCCCAGGCCGTGGCCGTGCTTACGCCCAGTCTTGTCGTCTTGCTGCCGTCGCCTCTTGCCCATCCCCTCCGCGTTCCCGTTTTCCTGCCTCACCCTGACGACCGGAAGGGCTCTGGTTCCTTCCTTCCTGGCTGCGCCCGGCTGCTGCTCCGGGGTCCTGCCTTGGCCCATGGGCTGGCAGCTGCCCTTCTCCAGTAGGGCGCCGGGGCTGTCTGCCCGTGCTTCCGAGCGTCCTGACCCGAGTGTGTCTGTCCGTGTGAGCAGCCCCTGCTGGAACAAGGATGTCTGAGCCTCCCTGTCTGCCGGGCGCCCGGCCCCGGCGACCTCTCTGTCCCTCTGCCGGACCCTGGGGCTCACTAGGTGCGCCCTGTGGTTGTCGCATATTTCAGGTGCTTGCGGTTTGTTGAGCTTCCTGGATCCCTGTCAGCAAATTCAGTCTTTTAAAATTTTCTTTCTCACTCCCTCTTTTCCCCTGGGGACCCCAGTGTGTGCTGTCACCCCCTCCCATGTCCCCAGGACCCAGTGTGTGCTGTCCCCCCTCCCCATGTCCCCAGGACCCAGTGTGTGCTGTCCCCCCTCCCCATGACCCAGTGTGCGCTGTCCCCCCTCCCATGTCCCCAGGACCCAGTGTGCGCTGTCCCCCCTCCCATGTCCCCAGGACCCAGTGTGCGCTGTCCCCCCTCCCCATGTCCGCAGGACCCAGTGTGTGCTGTCCCCCCTCCCCATGTCCCCAGGACCCAGTGTGTGCTGTCCCCCCTCCCATGTCCCCAGGACCCAGTGTGCGCTGTCCCCACTCCCATGTCCCCAGGACCCAGTGTGTGCTGTCCCCCCTCCCATGTCCCCAGGACCCAGTGTGCGCTGTCCCCACTCCCATGTCCCCAGGACCCAGTGTGCGCTGTCCCCCCTCCCCATGTCCCCAGGACCCAGTGTGTGCTGTCCTCCCTCCCCATGTCCCCAGGACCCAGTGTGCGCTGTCCCCACTCCCATGTCCCCAGGACCCAGTGTGCGCTGTCCCCCCTCCCATGTCCCCAGGACCCAGTGTGCGCTGTCCCCCCTCCCATGTCCCCAGGACCCAGTGTGCGCTGTCCCCCCTCCCATGTCCCCAGGACCCAGTGTGTGCTGTCCCCCCTCCCATGTCCCCAGGACCCAGTGTGCGCTGTCCCCCCTCCCATGTCCCCAGGACCCAGTGTGCGCTGTCCCCCCTCCCATGTCCCCAGGACCCAGTGTGCGCTGTCCCCCTCCCATGTCCCCAGGACCCAGTGTGTGCTGTCCCCCTCCCATGTCCCCAGGACCCAGTGTGCGCTGTCCCCCTCCCCATGTCCCCAGGACCCAGTGTGTGCTGTTCCCCCTCCCCAGGACCCAGTGTGTGCTGTCCCCACTCCCATGTCCCCAGGACCCAGTGTGCGCTGTCCCCCCTCCCATGTCCCCAGGACCCAGTGTGTGCTGTTCCCCCTCCCCAGGACCCAGTGTGTGCTGTCCCCCCTCCCATGTCCCCAGGACCCAGTGTGTGCTGTCCCCCCTCCCATGTCCCCAGGACCCAGTGTGTGCTGTCCCCCCTCCCATGTCCCCAGGACCCAGTGTGTGCTGTCCCCCCTCCCATGTCCCCAGGACCCAGTGTGTGCTGTCCCCCCTCCCCATGTCCCCAGGACCCAGTGTGCGCTGTCCTCCCTCCCCATGTCCCCAGGACCCAGTGTGTGCTGTCCCCCCTCCCCATGTCCCCAGGACCCAGTGTGTGCTGTCCCCCCTCCCCAGGACCAGGTTCGCATCCGTCTCAGGGTCTTGTCACAAGTCATTGGAGTGTCTGGAAGGAGTTGCTCTTTTGGTCCGCAGGACGTCCCTCCCACTTCTCACTCTGCTGTCACTGTCCCGTGCTTCTCCGAGACCCTTGTGAGCTGTGGCTTTCCCACGTGGCTCCCATGGGGCCTGGGACAAGAGCAGAGGCTCCTGCAGGGTTTGCGACTGCCCCGCCCCAGCCAGCAGCTCCCCGTCTCTGTGGCCCGGGCCTCAGCTCCTGCCGCGCCCCGCCTGGGACAGACTTTCCCTGGGGTCCCTTTCCTATCCCCGTGTCGTCTCCTTCCTCCAGGCGTGCACTGGTGGGCGGGGGACACTCGGCACCCCTGAAAGCGGCCCTCGCTCACTGCCCAGTGTCTCCCCCTCACCCCCCGCCCCCGTGCCGTGGCTTCCCTGTGGGCTGAGTCAGGAGGAAATGGACTGCGCCTCCCAGCCCCGCCCCTCTGCCGGTGACCTCTCACCTTTCCATCAGCCCTGCTCTCCTTGCAGGTTGAAGATTGAAGAGCTGGAGGGGGAGCGGAGCCGCCTGGAAGAGGAGAAGAAGGAGCTGGAACTGCAGCTGGAGCGACGCAGCCTGCAGGTAGGTGCCCCGCCCTAGGCCTGCAGGTGCGTGCCCCGCCCTAGGCCTGCAGGTGCGTGCCCCGCCCTAGGCCTCTGCTCAGCCTGGGCTGCCTCCCACAGACGCCCTCACCCTGCAGTCCTCCTCCATTGGTTTCTTGTTCTGCTGGCACTGTCCACAGAGCCTGGAACCTGTGGGGCCTGCCGGGGGAGGAGTGGGCTTGCAGGGGGCACCCAGGGAGGGCTCCTCGGTGCAGCTCGGGCCCCCCAGCCCCTGCCCACCGAGCCGCCGTCATGAGAGCAGACGGCTGCTTGTGTCAGCTCCACCTTGCTGTGGCCTTCTCTGAAGTTCTCCAGGAATACAGAGAGTGGGGCCCTCAGGCTGTGGAAGGCCCGTGGATTTTATCGTGGTTCCTGCCAGAGGCAGGTGACACCTGGGATAAAGTGGGCGTTCTGGGCCCAGGCCACGGTGGCTGCCCAGCAGCAGTGTCACAGGTGGCTCTCCGCCCCCACCCTCCCCCCGGGAAGGAAGTGCTCCTCGCAGCCACCTGCTGCTGGCCTGGGTGCTCCCAGGGCATCCCTGTGGCCCCTGCGGCGATGGCGGAGCAGTGAGTGAGGTGAGAGGTGCAGGTGCGTGTGGCCCCCATCCCGTGCAGGTGCTCCCCCTCGTGCCTCCCGGGCCCCACGCACCCTCTGCAGGGGCGCGTCCTGCACTGCTCGGAGCTCAGGGTGCCGTGGGCAGCTGGGGTTCATGGACATGATCCAGCCCTGGGCCAGGATGGCAGGGTCACTGCCCAGTGAGCGTAGCAACGCCTGCCCCTGCGTCCGGGCCGCCTCCCCTGCAGGCTGCAGGAGCACTAGGGCCCCTTGTCCTGGAGATGAGGCTCGTCACAGCAGGGTGGGGGGCCGGGGGGCCATGGCCCTACCCTGCTTCCTGCCTACTGCCCCTGCGTCCTGCTGGCCGGGTCGCCAGCCCCGCCTCATGGCCGGGCACAGCAGCGTGGGCCAAGGCACTGGGCAGTGAGCAGGACTGGGACCTGAGCTCCGGCCTGTCGCCCGCCATGCTCCTCTCGTGTGACGTGGGCCTTGGGAGGCCAGCATCCCGATAGCCGACTCTGCCATTCCAGGAGCAGCCCGCATCTGGGGCCCTGCGGTGTGCTTGGGCAGTGAGAGGTTTAAGCCCTGGAGGCCCGGCATCGGCCACCCCACCATCTGGACTGTCCTGGCCCCGTCCATCCAGTGTGAGAAGGGGCTTCCATGTGTGCGGATGGTGACGGAG